CCAAGCAGACTGTTACTCTCTCTACCAAAGGGAGGAGTAGTGGTGGTAGCTGTGCAGTTGGAGGCGGTGGTGGGGGAAGGATTTCTTCAGTCTCTTCTGGAAGATACAGCTCCTGTGGGATAGGCAGCGGTAGAGGCTTTTCGGGTAGGAGTTACAGTGGTGGTGCGAGTTGTGGAGCAGGACTGAGTGCTGGTAGCTTTTCTGGAGGTAGCTATGGAGGTGTCTTAGCAGGAGGTCACCCAGGATACGGCTATGGAGGTTGTTCCAGCATTGGGTTCAGTGGTGGCAGCACCCGCTGTGGATATGGAGGTGGATTTGGTGGTGCTGTTGGTGGTGGCTTTGGTGGTGCAGTCGGTGGTGGCTTTGGTGGTGGTGGTCTTTGTGGAGATGGCGTATTTGTCACCTGTGATGAAAAGCTGACCATGCAGAACCTTAATGACCGCCTGGCTTCTTACCTGAACAAGGTGCGATGCCTGGAGGAAGAAAACGCTGCCCTAGAGTGCAAAATCAAGGAATGGTATGCCCATCATGGACACACCGGTGTACCAAAGGACTACAGCTGCTACTATAAGGAAATAGAAGATCTTCAAAATCAGGTGATAGTTTTTTTGGCTGTATTCCCCATTGTAAGAGCTTCCGTCTGAGTCTGTGTTCAGATCCTATTTCACTTTTGTAAAATGTTCTTTGCAGACATAAATTAAGGCAACTGCTTTTATGAACTACGGGTGAGGGTGTGAAAACTCATGAGTCCATTTAAAATTTGCCTTTTCTTGACCAGATTTGTACAAAGAGAAAAAGGTTACATATGCAGGGAACACTCTGGGCCTGGTCAGTACTCCTCGTGAATGAAGTTTGTAACAGGATGTTTTAATATATTTATACCCAAAAGGGAGATGAGAAGAGAAATTCATTCATTAATTCACTGAGTCATCTTCATTATTACATTGTGTCCTGTCATCAGTTTTCCCAGATTCTAGTTAAAATCCCATTTCTATTTCAACTAACTTTGAGCTCCTATCCAGAGGTGTGGGTGGGAAAGGGGAATATTCCCCTAAAGAACAATAAGAAAAAAAGACTACTTTGTCACCAATAGTTTTGAATGGGCAATTTAATTTTTGTAAAAAATATTTTCCAAGTATATTCTGGAGAAGGATTAGTCAGCTAGGAAAAACAAAGCAGACAGAATCACAGGGTGCAGGAGAGAGATACGCGCCAAATGCTGAGCTGTAATCTAAGTCTTGCACTGAAAAAATATAAACTCATAGTTACGAACTCTAGACCAAGTTTGAAAATGTGAGGTCTGTTATAGCAGGCACCAGAGAGCACTAATTCTAATTGCAAAACTGTTAGCATCTTAACTGTGTGTTTTTACACACACATTCATTTCACCTATTTCACTTCACACACTTGGACATTTCTCAAACATTTCGCCTTGGATCAGAAATTTTCTGTGCTTCCCATCTGTCTGAATTTTGCAACATGACACTGAGCATAACAGAATGAAGAGACTTCAGGGCTGAAAATCCCCTGCCCTCTTCTTTTCCAGATTGTTTGCGCTACCCTAGACAACAACAAGATCATTCTGAACATTGATAACAGCAGGATGGCAGCTGATGACTTCAGACTGAAGTGAGTACCTCTCTGTAGCAGACAAACCCTGTCATTCTCCTCCTGTTCCCTCACATCCTATTTACAAATTGACAATGAAGAAATCCCCCAACCAAGAATTACTGGTATTCCTGATTCATGACAGGTTGTATTATTGTGAGATTTTATTATTATTAATTATCTGTATTAGAGTAGCAGCTATGAAGCTCAGTCATGGACCAGGACCCCATTGTGCTAGGCACTGTACAAACACAGAACAAAATGACACTCACCACCCCCAAAGAGTCGATAATCCCTCTAGAAGACAAAAGACAACAATGGATACAGACAGACCAATGCGGGAGTACTCAGGAACTACGACACATAATTGGTGGTCTCAGATTTTGAGATGTGCCTTCGGTCTTTGAC